TGTGTGTGTGTGTGTGTGGTATATATATATATATGTATGTATGTATCTATATGTTACATATATCAATACGATCTACGTACACATTCTTTTAACGTGAATATTACATATTTCATAGCCTGCTAAAATAAATAGACACATATTTGTGTATAATTCGTGATAATTTTCCACCACTGAAGTAGGCTCGAATTGTCGAAGAGGTTTGGCAGCTTTTTTCCGTAAATGTTATTGGTGACATCATTGGGCTTCGGGGTAAATTACCGTCATGAATTTTTTCGACAACAATTTCTGAACCTATTTATTTCCAAAATCCCCATACTAAGAGCTGACTTGACCGCCAGAATTGGTACCGAACTGCATATTCCTATTTTTAATACCTACCTCGGCAGTCTCTTTAGCCTTAAGCCTACGACGGGAGTGGGTTGAAACTTGAAGGCTTTTCTCCTCAGGTTGTGTCGGACAGTGTCCAGTGACCAGTTTCCTGCCAATTTGTTTTGAAATAATTTATTTATTTATTTTATGAGGCGTTCCACTACACACATTTGAGACGTCAAGAAAATATCGACCTCGATAAGCTTAGCAACCAACTTGGACGTTCTCATTGAAATACCCACACTCCTACAACAGCTTCACATCAGTGAATAGGTATACATACATGTATTATCCACACAGGTGACTGACTGCTAGTTATAAACGGTCGCCGTAGCATAATTGCACCTGCAGATTTGGTCCGTGATATGATTCGAACTCAAAATGTTCGACGAGGAAGAAGCGGAGTGTCCACTTTGTATGGAACCTTTGGATGAAACCGACAAAGGGTTCTTCCCATGTGCATGTGGTTATCAAATATGCGGCTTCTGCTGGCATAAACTACGGAATGAAGGCAATGGGCTTTGTCCCGCTTGTCGCACACCGTTTGAAGATCGGCCGGCCGAGTTTGCACACGTGGATGCTGACAGGTATTAAACTTGTGTATTGTACGACGTGTAGTTGTGCTATTAGCGAGTGTTGTTATAGAATGACAATAGATTGTATACAAAAATATATATATATTTATATATATATATGTAAATTTCTGTATAAATGTAAATTTCTGTGTATATATTTATATATATATATATATATGTAAATTTCTGTATATATATATATATGTGTGTGTGTGTGTGTGTGTGTGTGTGTACTAAGTAATATTAAGTATATATATATA